TTATAAGAACCACGTTTATAAAATCTTTTCAATATAAGTGCATACAGATATTTATTTTTCAATCATAGCACATTTTATTTAGTCCGATTCTACATGTAACATACAAGTTTTCCATTGCTTCGCCTATATAGTCCATGTCCTTCGTGTATATAATTCATGTCCGGAATTATACTATTGCAAATATTCCAGCGATTATAATGGCTGAGATGTGATCAATATACGTGAAAGGAATATCTCATATTTTAAAAGTTATTCGACTGTTTAAATTTTTTAGTAAATTATGGCATAATAATAACTTTCACTTACCAAATGTAAACGTATAATCGGATTCAATATCATGATCTTAGAAGTATTAATTGTAATTTATCAATTACAAAATACATATATGGAAATATATTAATTAATAATTATTAGTGATATGTTATACACATGTTTGACCGTGAGCATTGGAATTTTTGTTTCAAATATAAATTTATGGTAAAAAGTTAATTCAAGTTTCCAAATCCGAAATTTCATATAAATATGATTTTACTCTTGATTGGTAAACCGCATAATTAGTGATTTCGATTGGTGTCAATCACTTAAAATTCGTGATAAGAAAAATGATACACTGCAATTAATGTTGTGTGAAACACTTTTAAACACTCAAACCTACTCCAATTGCTATATAAGGTCTTTGCAAACCAATTTTTATAAAAAAACATCAGTAAAATAACATTTTTATAAAGAACATCACCCCGTGCTAGGCACGAGTCAATCCCTAGTAAACCATTATGTGAACTAATCATCCAATAAGAGAAATGTTATGGTTGTATGTATTAATGTTATAGATCCTTAGACAATAGTATGTTAGAATGAATTATCATTGATCCTCAGACGATAGTATGTGAAATAAAAGTCTAAAAGATAATTCATTCACAAAACTTATTGTATCAATTGCCAGATACAATTACTGACCCAAATAGTGTTGAGTCACTTACCAGCTGTAAATGCTCTAAAAGTAATTGATGTCCCAGAAGGACAATATCAAGCTGCTAGTAAGTCTAAAGAACGCATGAAGCGTGATAGACTTCTTGGTTCCAAATATTAGAATCCTCGGAAAAGTAAAATGAGCATAAATTGATAATGGTTAAACCGAGGAAACAAATGTTTTTGAAATGATCTCAAGAAGAGACATTAAACATGACAAGAAAGAAATTCAGGTACCTGAGACAAAGAAGAGATCTCGAGAATTAATTATGTCATGTATGGAATAAAATGGAACCATAAAAGCAAATCGACGTCGTAAATAAAATATTTGCATGCATTCTAGCAGTTGATGTTATGAATAAGAAAGAGGATCAAGAAACAAAGTCTATTGCATTGTGTACACAAAGTAATGATTTGGCCAAATCGAAAAGAAGCAATAGACGCAAAACGAAAATCTCTTAGAAAGAGAAATGTATTTGGACCAGAAGTAGGCCTTTATAAGAATCAATATGAAGAGATATACTCTCATGTGGTGGATGCAACTTTCAAGTTCATTAAGTGTGGCAATGAAAGAAGAACTTGACTTATACGACTCACTAAACAATGACATTTATGTAAAAGTCCGTGAAGGATATAATTTCCGAATGATTAATGATATCAAACTTATGTTCCCGAAGAATTCTAATTATTTAATCATATGAAAAGAAATACGTCTCATTGGGGTACAATCACAAAAATGATAATATATATATATATATATATATATACTTTCATATATAATCAATACTCAATGTATATTTATAAAAGTTAGAGATCAAAAGAGATTCTTAATCTAAGCATCATCAAAATTCCAGAAGAATTATTGAAATTATTATCACAAAAAGATATGAGATAAAAGATCTTGGAAAGACAAAATTATTTTAAAATATCCTAAATTCACAATTTAACAGAAAAGATGTGATCTCAAAAATCTTTGTAAGATTTGCATTAAAAATGCTCACATTTGGTCTTGAAGTACCATACCTTAAATTATATTTGAGAAATCTGTTAGTCTCTTTCATAATTGAAAGATGAGCATGAGATAACTTATATATACAAGATATATGTTTACAAGACTTTATGTAAAAGGGAAAGTTTGGCTTGAAGTCCAAATAGACCAAGAAATTATTACTTATGAAAAAATAAGTCATGTTCGAAGTCTAAATGACCTAAAATATTATAAGATAATCATACTAACTGAGGTTATATTCATAGTAATCCCCAAAAGATGGTATTTATTGGAATGCATCTCTTGAAGAAGATGCTTCCAAAGGGGGAGATATATGATGATATGTGTGGTTGTACTCTTTTTTCTTATCATGATTTTTATCCCATTGGGTTTTTCCATGAAAGGTTTTAATGAAGCAACAAAGAACACACAAATGAGAAACATTTAAAGATATTCAAAAGATGAAAGTCTATCTCCTTTTCAAAGTTCTTGCCATCCATTTATGAGATCAAGTTGAGCAAAGAGAATGATCAAGATGATTCCTTAGCAACACCATACAAAGCAGAAGAAAGGAGATATTAATGTTTTAAAGATTGTTCAAGTGAAGATTTTGAAGACTTGGTTAACAAGGAGTTTCCAACTACTATTTTCAAGAAGTTAGTTCATCTTATTGGATTATGTCGTCTCAAAGATTTAGACGGATGTTCTCATGTTCTCATGAGGGGGAGTATGACGTGCTGCACTCTTTTTCTTTAGCTAAGGTTTTTTCCATTAGGTTTTCCTAGTAAAAGTTTTAACGAGGCAGCAGCTTATGCATTTATAATATATTTTAGATAATGGATATCCAAGGGGGGTGTTATGGGTTAATATGTGGATGTCCATTAGCCTATTACACTTGTACTACATGTTCTCCTTGTACCCTAGCTTTGTACTCTATATAAGAACTCCTCTACTCATGAATAAGTCATTCCATTCTCTCATTTCACAACACAAAGATAATTTGACTATAAAACTTTAAAGTTTTTCTTATGCGGGTGAGGGTTTATAAGTTATAACTATTTCTTTCGTACTAATCTGAAACCTATTAGGTCAAGATATCCTCAAAGCCAAATGAACTACAAAGCATTGTGTTTTTTGTTTTACTTCACTCTATACAACGAAAGCAAAAATAGATAATAAGCTCAAACACACGATGAATTGCTTCTGTTTCTTCCTCACTAAGCCGAAAGCATTTGGATATGCTATGGGTTTGTGTCATTGTGTGTCAAAGTTTACGCTTTTGATTAAATGTCGTTTAGGTTTTCACTGAAACAACCAACATTTTTTTTTATAAATAAATACTAATCAATTCTAGCGAAGGTCTTTAAAATAAATTAAATAAATAAAATATCAATAACAAATAAATCAGCTCAGCGGAAGCAAATAATAATTAAACAAGTCTAGCAAAATAATGCAAAACAATAAAACAGTAAACATCCTATCATCCCCCTCTTCAGCCTTGATTCCGCGATCACACAAATCTTTTACCTGCAACACATTGGAATGGAGTTGCGTAAGTATTTAATAAATACTTAGTGAGGCAATCACTCTGCCTACGAGCCATTTACGCAATTTACTAGATATTTAATAATATTTATAAACTCCAATAATTATTAAATACCATTTTCCAATTATTAAATAATTTTTAATAATTAAAACTCAATTTCTCAATTATTAAATAATTCTCATAATTAAATAATAATTTTCCATATTTTAAAATAATTAAAATAATTATTTTAAATCAATTAATTAATTAAATAACCATTAATTAATTAAATCCGAAAATAAATCAAACAATTTGAATTAAAACATTTTAATTCAATTACACCATTAACCAGAATCAAATCAATTTAAACCAAGATAAACCAATTAAATCAATTAATTCAATTAAACCAGATTAAACCACACAAACACACAATTCATCACATAAACAACCAAAATATCATGAAATAACAATTAAACACATAAACTCATCAAGAACAACCACAAACCAAATCTAATCTAGCAAATCGCGGACCCACAGTCATGCACTCACCTTGACAATGATTGAAACTGAAGGAAAAAGGAAAGACGATGAACAGTGCCGAATCGCGGATGAACAGTAACCGATGAACAGTACCGATGAACAGTAACCCGTGAACAGTACCGATGAACACCGATGAACAGTACCCGTGAACAGTACCGATGAACAGTACCCGATGAACAGTAAAATCGGATTTTTCCAAACTCTCAAAATCTTTCTCCTTCTCTGCTCGAAAAACGTGAGAAAGACGGCTGCACTCTTTAAACTTGATTTTAGGGCTTTCTCCCTAACCGCTAAACCCAAACCAATTCACTTAAATTGAACCAAAATTCCCAATTTATTTTTGGTTTATGGATGTTACAACTCTCCCCCACTAAACTGGATTCGTCCTCGAATCCCAACGCAAACGTCACAAAGACCACAAAACCCGACCTCGCAAGGCCGCAACACGGAGATCCTCACTGATCCCCGAGACAAACGTCAATCTTATGTCATAACACGTTCCAAGAAAATTTCACTCCTAACTCATCATCCAAAACACACAAACCACTTGTACTGAGGCCCACTTGCACCCAGACGAACCCGAAACGTCCATACTGAGGCCCACTTGCACCCAGATGAACTAAACTGCTTATACTGAGGCCTACTTGCACCCAGATAAGCTACACTCAACTGAGGCCTACTTGCACCCAGAGAGTCTGCCAGAGAACGAAGTCTCCAAAAACATGATGAGTTATTCAGGATCGCAATCCTTAGAGTAAAAATTCCGGAAAATGTCTATAACCATAAGATTAGACCGTCTCACAACCAAAAACTGGTCAAACATGTGTAACATCCGAATACCATTTCACAACACAAGGCAAAATGAGGAAAAACTGCATCTCATTAAAACTCCAAAAATGTATATCGTTACAACGAAAACGAAAATACAATAACACCAAAGCCAAAAATAACAACTGAGGCTACAAAGATGAAATAAGCTCACTCCTCGACCTGCTTGTCGAACCACTTCCTGAACTTCAACTTCATCTTTGCCTCTGGCTCCCAAGTCTCCTCTGTAGAACCACTGCAATCCCACAAAATCCTCAGTAAGGGAATCCTCTTGTTCCTCAGAACCTTTTCCCTCCTCTCTAAAATCCTCACAGGCACTGCCGGCACTGTCAAATCTGGCTGAAGATCCTCTGGAATCCTAGCCACTAACTCCTCTGTAGGGTGAAGACACTTCCTCAGCATCGACACATGAAAAACCTTGTGAAAGGCTTTCATAATCTCAGGCAACTCCAGCCTGTAAGCCAATGGCCCAACTCGCTCCACTACTGGAAACGGACCCATAAAACGCGGACTCAGCTTGTTCTCTGCTATGGATCTGTTAGGACCCCTCAACATAGCCATCTTGAGATAAACTCTATCTCCCACCTGAAACTCAAGCTCTCGTCTGCGTCTATCTGCATAACTCTTCTGCCTATCCTGAGCCTCCTTCATGTTCAGCCTCACAACACGAACCTTCTCTGTCGTCTCCTGAACATAAGTAGCTCCATACATGCTGCGCTCCCCCACTTGGGTCCAGCATAGGGGTGTCCTACATGGCCTCCCATACAAAGCCTCAAATGGAGCCATGCCAATACTCGCCTGAAAGCTGTTGTTGTATGCAAACTCAACTAAGCTCAGGTGATCTGCCCAATGGCCACCCCAATCCAACACACACATCCTCAGCAAATCCTCCAAAGTCTGAATAGTCCTCTCTGACTGACCATCTGTCTGCGGATGATAAGCTGTACTCAGATGCACCTTAGTGCCCATCTCTGCCTGAAACGCCCTCCAAAACTCTGAAGTGAATCTGGGATCACGGTCTGACACAATACTAGCTGGCACTCCATGCAGCCTCACAATCTCTCGCACAAACTTCCTAGCCAAGACAGCAGCTCCATCTGTCTTCTTGATGGCCAAGAAATGTGCGGACTTAGTCAACCGATCCACAATCACCCAGATAGCATCGAAAGTCCTCGAAACAGGTAGTCCAACCACGAAATCCATCGTAATCCTGTCCCACTTCCACTCTGGAATGGGTAAACTCTGCAAAAGACCACCCGGAACCTGATGCTCTGCCTTCACCAAGGCACAAGTGTTGCACTTCGCAACCCAATCTGCTACATCCCTCTTCATCCCGACCCAATGATAGTACCTCTTGAGGTCATGGTACATCTTGGTCGCTCCCGGATGAATGGAAAACTTGCTCGCGTGAGCCTCTCCCAAAATCTGATGTCTCAACTCCACATCCTTAGGCACACAAACTCGCCCACGAACCAAGATAGTCCCATTCGCAGAGACCTCATACTCAGAACCAGTCACTCTCGTCGCATCTAGCAAACTCTGATCACTCTGCTGAGCAACTCTGATCCTGCTAAGTAGATCCGCCTGATCCACCGCCTCTAAACCCAAAGGCTCATGCGAAATGGCACACAAACGCAAGGTACTGATCTCGCCAACTAGAGACTCCACATCTCGCTCAACTGCGGAATCATACCTCCGTCTACTCAACGCGTCCGCCACTAGGTTAGCCTTGCCCGGATGGTAGTTAATGCTCACCTGATAATCCGCCAAGAACTCAACCCAGCGCGTCTGTCTCGCGTTCATCATCGGCTGAGTGAAGATATGCTGCAAACTCTTGTGATCCGTGAAGACCTGTACTGTCTCACCTAGCAAGTAAGACCTCCAAATCTTCAACGCGAAGATCACTGCTCCCAACTCTAAGTCATGTGTAGGACGGTTACGCTCACTGCCCTGCCACTGTCTCGAAGCATATGCTATCACTCTGCCCTCCTGCATCAGCACACAACCAAGACCAATGCCTGAAGCATCTGTATACACCATGTAAGGCTTCCCTGGCTCGGGTAACGCCAACACTGGTGTAGTAGTCAACATCTCCTTGAGCTGACTAAAGCTCTCCTCACACTCAGCTGACCAAATAAAAGGGACATCCTTCCCGGTCAACTTCGTCATCGGCTGCGCCATGGTAGCAAACCCCTTGACGAACCTCCTGTAGTATCCTGCCAAACCCAGAAAACTCCTGATCTCGGTGGCACTACTAGGTCTAGGCCAATCTCTGATAGCCTCAATCTTAGCCGGATCCACAGAAACTCCCTCTGCAGAAACAATGTGGCCAAGAAATCCCATCTCTCGCTGCCAGAAACTGCACTTGCTCAACTTAGCAAAAAGCTTCTGCTCCCGAAGCTTCTCAGAACCAACCTCAAGTGAGTCGCATGCTCTTCCTGACTCCTCGAGTATACCAGAATATCGTCAATGAAAATGATGACAAACACGTCCAAATACTCCCTGAACACGTCGTTCATCAATCTCATGAAGGCTGCCGGCGCGTTAGTCAACCCGAAAGGCATAACCACAAACTCAAAATGCCCATAACTTGTCCTGAAAGCAGTCTTCCTGACATCTGCCACATCTATCGGGATCTGATGATACCCCGATGCCAAGTCAATCTTGGAGAACCAAGTAGCACCCCTCAACTGATCCA